TTCAAATAAATAATAAGCTCTGAATTTTAATTTTCTTTCGGCGAATCAAAGTAGCTAGTTTTTTGTCAAAAATTTCTTAGAAAGTTTGTAGTTTTATAAATATGCATTATTAAATTTTCCATTTTCCATTCAACAAACTAGTTGAGACCCTCATGGAAATAGTTCACGCCTAGTTTTCCAAATGTACCAACAACAATTGAAGAGAATATGAACTTATCCACTTCTGAAGCCATTACTTTAAGGAATCTACTTAAATATAAGTATATACATACAGACACATATCCATAAATTCATATCCACCACTGAATTCCACCTTTGCGATGGTGCAACAATTTGTTTGCATTAGCGTACAAGCATTTGGCAATCTGTGTTAATACTAAAAGGATAAAGATGTTCAATTAATTTCGCAAATTAATTGCGGCAGACCAGACAACAAAATGCCAATAAAGCCTTAAATACATACAACTCTGGGTAGCCACCACAGACAAGTATAACCCAATTTTCTAACAGAGTGAAATATTTTGGTATTAAAAAGAACAGGTGAGAGTGAAAACTCGATTTGAGATAAATATTACGATCAATTTAGAACTCATATTTATAGATAACTGCCAATAAGTATCGAGTTTTGAAGAAGATGGCTAGCAAATGGTCAAATTTACTTAGTACTTACCTCTCCGGATTTGTCACTGTAAAAAAAAAAAAATTTTTTTTGGTAGTTTTTACACCATAATCATGGCATAAAAAGTGCCGAAAATATATCTTTGAGTTAAGCAGCCCAAGTTACCTTCCAACAATTTTAAACACTTCCAAACTAACACTTACGATTTATTCCCTTTAATTACAACGACATTTGGTTTAGTTGTCTTTGCTACATAATTTTTTTTTTACTATTTTGTCAATTTTTGCGATAGTATAAGTACTTTCACGAACTTCCAAGCTGTTATTTTTGTATACTTTGTTAATATCGTAGACAATACAATAGTAGTCTGAAGGTACATATATATGCATATATGTACTTATATATTTATACATATGTATATGCGTGAGTATATGCAACCTTTAAGAAAATTGTACTGAATATTTAATATTGATTTAAATTAGAAGCACACTCATTGAGATGCTTATGTGTGTGTATGAATGTGCTTGTGGTTCAAGCAATGCTTGCTTGGAACACTTTCATTCAACTACTCACCAGACACTTCCGTGTGACTTCTATGACTTTCTCGAGTTCCAATTTTGCAGCAGATAACAACTAAGATGAGTTTTGGATGTTTTCATTATATTTATATACTATATATATAGGGTTTTCCAATGGTAATGATACGATTTCTAAGCGCCATTTCGCCATTTTCAATAAGTATGTCATGATCTGTAATTTTTTTCATTGCATACAGTAATGTTTACAATTTCATCGTAGAAAACATATGAAAGAACAATTAAATAACATTTTTCTCACTCATGAACTGAAGCAATTAGATCACCGCAAAGGTCGTAAATTTATTGATTGCCTTGAATAACTTAAAAAGAATAAGCTTTTTTTCAAGAAAATCATCTTCTCTGATGAGGCTCAGTTTTATCTGAGCGTTGCGGTAAATAAACAAAACTGTCGATTTTGGTGCGAAGAAGACCACAAATTATTCATGAACAACTATTACATTCACCTAAATAGACAGTTTGGTGTGGTATTTGGTCTGGTGGAATCATCGGTCCGTTCTTCTTTCGAAATGAAGCTGATGACATCGTTACTGTCAATGGAGAGCGGCATAGATCGTTATATAACCAAACTTCTATGGTCGTAAGGGGAAGAAGTTGATTTTGACAACATGTGGTACCAAAAAGACGGCGCTACATGCCACACAGTACGTGCAATAACCGAGTTTTTGCCAGACAATTTTGGAGATTCGATTATTTGAAGCAATTGTGATATTGAATGTCTTGCAAGAAGTTGCGATTTAACACTATTAGATTACTTTTCGTGGGTTATTTGAAGTCATTGGTCTTTAGCAATAAACCAATCTCTCTTCAAGCTCTAGAAGTCAATATTAAACATGCTTTTCATGACATACGGTTTGATTTAGTAGAAAAAGTACTTGAAAATTGGGTTCACCGAATTCGTTCCTGCAAAAAAAGTCGTGAAGGCCAATTGAATGTTTTTCTAAGAACTTAATTGCATCGATTGTTCTTCACACTAAATGGGAAACATTTGAATTTCTTTAACAATTAGTGTGTTTTGAAAATAAATCATATACTCTTATTGGAAAACCCTGTATATATGTGTGTTTGTGTATATGGCAAGGTGTCTATTATACAGCTGGTATTTATTTATTGCTATATATTTATTCGTATACCATATATTGGAATTGCGAAAGTAATTAACATTAAAATTAATGCATAAACATTTGATTACCAAGAGAGCAATAGAGTGGGAGGCAGATAGAGTGAAAGGGGTGGGGAGCACGCAAGAGACTTTAACAAGGAATAAAGCAGAGATGGCTTCACAAACAGTCTTGTATGCAGCCTCACAGAAACAGTGTACGCAATTAGTATGTGACACATTAATGTAGGTGAATATACATATTTATATGCATATTAAAATGGCGGAATATATGTATTTATTGAATAAACTGTATATTAATAATATTTTCACAATTAACTCATTTATAGCAATTATAGGTCAATACTGAAGTTTGTGAGATTAAGAAGTGAAAAAATTATAGCAAAATGAGGCTCATCGCTAGAGAGAAATAAATACCAAATATGAAAGGAATGGTTTAATAATGTCTTTTTGTACTTTCTGAGAAATGTTACTAGAATAATTTTTATCCTCAACACCCTTAAAACAAGCAGATTCCAACGAACACAAAAACCAGCAAATAAAAAAATTCGGTCGAGCGCTTTTTGCCATTTTTCCGCTAGAGACTTTATTCCATCAGTGTAAATCGAAATATCGAAATTTCCAGAACGGAAGCGATCGATCCATTGTTGTGCTACACTTATACAGCATTGTCTGTGTAAACTTCATAAATTTCATTGGTGTTTTCCGTAGCATTCTTCCCTTTTTTATACAAAAATTTCAAAATATAACGAATTTTTTAATTATTTTCACTGATTTTTGAACAGCTGTAACTTTTTTCATCTTCGTTGAATTTATTTTGTTTTTATTTGGTACATGAATAAATAAAATCTCATCTTTCCAACACAATGTGACTGATAGCACTGGATGTACGAAAAGTCTTTTTAGACTACCAATATTACGTGCTATACAACTGTACTTCTATATATTCTATTGTATATAGCACAAAATTTCCCACATTTTATTTTTCAAGGAAACGCTATAATATCTAAAGATATTTCCAAGATAGGATCACTATATCATTTGTCTGCTATATGAACTGAACGAGCGAAATGAAGTTCTTGTAACGAAAATTTTAATTTTTGAGAAGATATCTTCAAGAAATTTGGTATATATTATTGCTCAAGGCAACGCTACAATATTCAAAGAAAGTTTTCAGATCGGATCACTATTTCATATAGCTGCCATACAAACTGAGCAATCCAAATGAAGTTCTTGTAACTTTCTTATTTTCAAAGATATCTTTATCAAATTTTGGCTTAGGTCATTTTTGAAAACAACGCTATAGTATTTAAATAAATTTTCTGGATGTGATCCCGATATCATATAGCTGTCTTACAAACTGAACGATGAAAATGATCTTTTTCTGTGAAAAACTTTTTTTATTTGGCAAGGAATCTCCCCAAAATTCATATCAGGTTATTTTTCTAGACAACGTTATAGTATCTGAATAAATTTGTTAGTTTGAAATACTGTATCATATTGTTACCATACAAAATGATCGATTAAAATCGAGATAGGATTTTTTTTTAACTTTATATGCTATAAGAAATACAGTTGTGCCGATCATTCTAGTTTCACTGTAACCGAAATTAACGTTTTTTTCGTCATTTTTTATTATTGTTTCTTTCTTCTGCAATGGGTTTTACCCTACTCAGATTTCTATTCTCTCGAAAATTATCTTCGCAGCTCTACATATTATAATGTGAAATACGCTTTCTTTATTGTTTTTTCTCAGTACAATTTATTTTCATTTAATTTTTTTTTATTTTGCTCATAACTGTTTCACATAGTATGTATGTATGTATTTCGTCACTCTTCATATTATACAAGTAAGTACATATACATTTATATATATATATATTTTATTCGTTTCATTTGAATTTTGTTTTTGTAATATTAAATATGTGTCCATGTTGGTAGTTGTATGCTGTTTGTGTTATAATACAGTTAATATAATGTTGCGAAATTTTCTAAAATTCTCACCTTCTCTCGGGGGCCTTAATGTGTTTGTGTGTGTGTGCAATTTTTCGTTTGTGGCATTTTTTTTTGGTGGCTTCGGTGGCTTTGCTGCTGTTGTTCGTGTTGTTTTGTTGTGCTGTTGTTATTGTTGTTGCTGTATGTCTGCTTAACCTACATACCTACTTAAAGATTTTTCTTTAAATAATTTGCATTAAATACTCTTTAATTTGTTATTATTTTACATGTGTTTTTTCGTCTACTCCTCGTACGCACTTCCTGCTTTATTTTTTACTAAATTTCTCTACTAAATTTTTCTAAAATATTTTTTATGCATTTTTTGTCGCATGTTTTGTGCACACTTCTTATAAGCTAGAGAAAATGCCAACATCGATCGTTTCGTTTCACTTTATTTTTGCAATTTTAAAACTTTTGGAGCAACAGTTTTTTATATATATATTTTTTTTGAGAATATACATATGTATGTTGTTTTTGTTTTTAGTTTGCAAATATAATTTAATGTGTTCAACACGCATAATTTTCATTAATTTACTTTATTTAATATTTATTTATTTATAATAAATACAATAAATTGAAGCTAAATACTTTTCACATTTGTTTTTTCTTTCATAAATATAAATATGTTTGTTTGTAAATATGCTTACAGTGTGTGTAGATTGTAAATAAATACGTATGCTTTGTTGTTTTTGTCTTGTACTAAATACATATACATACATATATATTTAGGCTAATAAAAAATAGTCACTATATTCTTTTAGGATGCAAGAGGCGCTTTGGTCCGCTGTTGTTTGTTTATTTATTTGTATGCTTGTATGTATATATGTTGTATGTATGTATTTAATAATCAACAAATTCTTATAGAGTTCTCTAATAAATCCGGCATAAATTCAGAAATTTTCAAATCAAAGTTTTCATATTTTCATTCGCACGCTTGCTTGCCTGCTGCCTGGGCGTTCTGAGACACTTTAGACTTCGGTTTCCGATCGTCGCCTCCTGCCTGGACCGCCGGGGAAATTGGCAGCGGCCAAGCCCATACGATGTTTCGCCTCTTGTGTGCCTGAGTAGCCGCGCGCCAAGCCAAAGTCCACAGTGCGTTTAGAGCTGCGGAATATAAGTGGAGAAAATAGTGATGTTTTATAAGGAGAAATCGAGAAAAAAATAATATATAGCATAGCATTGATATATAATTTTTTTTTATTCCAATTTAAAAGTGCCTCAATCTCACTTCTACCACCAAATACTTTCTCACAAATCTTAATTACTCAAACACTGTTTCGACTTTGCCAAAAAAGTAGCGACTGCTCCTTGAACGTTTCAATATTATATTGTATCCATAACTATATTCGTGTGTGTTTTTTTTCAATTTGAACCTCTCCCAAGGGTTGTGCTCCGGGGTTGGTACCCGCCACGTAATAAACACTACCTATGAAGAGAAGAAACGTCGTCCGAGTTTTGAAAGTGTGCAATGAAGTACCCGCCGGAGTAAACAGTTAACTCGGCTATAACCACGTAAACAATGTCTACGCGGTTAAAGAAGAAGAAGAAGAACGTGTGATTGTCCATTTTCTTCATTTCCTAAAGAAGAAGAAGGTTGTCCGTCTGAAGCTATAACATTTTCCCATCTTTCTGGCTCATCTGAAGATTCCATCACTAAAGAACTGCGCTGGCCTAGAAAACCAAGCATGAATAAAGCTAATTCTTGATTTTCTGTTCTGATCTAAGCCATGTTCCAATGAATTGCAATGACCGGAACAACTGGTAGTCAGAAATAGACTACATATAAGGAGGATAAGACAAAGAAGATAAGTCTTTTATTCCAAAACGTTTACGTTTTTCCAATGATTACCGTAAATTTTACTGGCATTTGTATATTCTATTCCAGTTAGCAAAAGGTTGCTAAGAAGGTTTGAGGGTTTATAAATCGTTGTGTGACACCGTGAACTTTGTTCGAACTGAAGCGTTGAGGACGGCATTTGATACTACACCGAATTTTTGATAAGGAGCAAAGTTGGTGGCTTTAATTACATATATTTTCCGATTAGATAATTTAGCTTCGGTTTAGTCAAAATGAGGCCGATACTACCACGCAATAGCTTCTAAATATCTAAAATGAGTTTCTCAATATTTTAACTGGTTTGCGACTTTATACACTCATACAAAATGTTGCCTACATTTAGGAGATTAATTGATCAATGAAATCAAACAACACTGGAATATAAGTAAAAAAAAGTTTCCCCATCACAATCAATATTTAAAAAATAAATAAGCAATTAGTTAAACGTTACTGAAATATGTTATTTTTGAAGCATATTTCTAAAAACCAAAACCTCTGCTTTTCCTAATAATGCTCGAAAAATATACAGGCAGTTGTATCTGTTAGTGTGGCCAATATTATTATGAAGGTTAGAATGATTTTATGATTTATTTTTTGCGCAACGCTACTAACTCGTTAAGAATTTGATAAATCAGGAATAGGCATTTGAGCCTTAACGCTATATCTATTATGAAAAATTTTAAAGTTTCTTTACTGTTTCTGAGTTAAAACTTAATTGATATTTTATTGAATATCAACTTCAATATTTTCATAATGACTTACTAACAATACTTAACATAGCTACCAAATATTTAAAACAAATTTATCAATCTCTCTTAACAAGTCATATAATACTAAACAGAATTTCTAATAAGGAAATAGTGTGTACCTTTAACTTCATATATTTTCCGATTAGATATTTTAGTTTCGATTTAGACAAAATTAGTTTGATACTAAGCTACAATAGCTTTTAAATATCAAATAAGTGAGTTTCTCAATATTATAACTGGTGTGAAACTTGGCTAATTTTAAACTATAATAAATTGTTGCCTACATTTAGGAGGTTAATTGATTAATGAAATCAAACAACAATGAAATATATGAAGGAAGTCTCTGTACCACAACAAATGAGTATTACATTTTAAAATGATAAACTGTCTAGCCAACACCAACAGAGGTTACAAACTTACATATATCCTTTCGTTGAAATTTTGCCTTCCTTGCAATAATGTACCTTAATGTACGCAGCTATCACTGTTTACAAAATTAGTTGCGACAATATCCGTTTAAAATTTGGGTAACTTTAACACCGCAATTATATAAATAGCTTGTAATTAGCAACAAACGTCGGCGAAGGGCACATCCGCTTGCCCTCTAACCTAACACCCACAATGTATGTACCCATTTGGCGCCTTTAAGAGACACATTTGCACTGCGACGATAGTAAATTAATTGCGGGTACACACAAAAATGTATCGCCTGCAAATTAAACCGCCCTAACGCCTACCTAATGTCAATAACCCACACGCACATTTGCACATTTAAAAGCCACTACGCCTGCATTTCATACTGAAATTATTGTTAGTTTAAGGTTTCTTCGTGTTTTTTATTACTCACTTTTCCAGATCGTTGCGTGCTCTCATAATAGTTTGTCCGAAACGGGCCATCAGCTCCATTAATATGTCGTCGGGCACCTCCTCAAGCTCGTTGTAGTAGCCGCCGCCCTGACTGTGTTTGCCATGTTGTGTTTGTATGCATGTGTGTGTTTTGTGTAGTTTTGTGCCAGCGTAAGGATTTATGTTTACATTGCGTTTTACGTTTTGTTTCGTTGTTAAGTGTATTGGAAAATAAGAAAATCTTCTATTAGTATCTTAAACGCACATTTATTTATGGCTTGTCAATATATTCGTATATAATATGTCATATGCTCGCTAAATACGCCTACATAATGCGTTTTGAATTCAAGCGATATGGTTAAAATGCAGAAAAAGGTTTGGTTAATTGAAAATAAATATGGAAAGTGAAAGGATACGAAAAGCTTTTACGCCAAAAGAGTTTTACGGAATTTAAATTAAATCAGTTCAGAAATGACATGAAAGTTCAGCGAAGCTCGGAAGGTTTATATTGTATTCTACTCCTTGCATGCCGGATAACAAACTTTCCAAAAACTTCTACGTCAAAGAAGTCTAAGTTGCTGAAAATTCGGTAGGTGTAACTATATATTTTCTTCTGAAAATTCGTCACTATATTTCACTACTTTAAAGAGAACCCAATAGAACAGAAATATAAGAAATATCACTTCAAGAGGTGAACACACTTAGCATACTCGGCGTTGCCGTTCGGTTATCTACTTTAACTCTTTAAAAAACTTTCATACTACAACCCTGAATGTGCTTTCTAATAGAGATTTCATAAAACTCAAACATTCCACTTGCTACTCCTCACCTTCTACCACTTGTTATTTAAGTTGAAAAGATGCCTTCTCTGCCTAAAAATGTAAATATGCTATTTTTTTGAAACTGTAATGTGCCTAAAATAAGGTTTATCCGTATTTAAAACTTTTACCCTATCGAAATCCGAATGGCTCCTCGGTATTCAAAAGTCAACTGGAGAAAGACTTGACTTCGCTTGGTCTTAAAGAATGCGAATATAGTATACTCCAGAATATATACTTCTGGCACTTTAAAGCGTCAAAGAGGAAGATGGCTAATCTGATCCCTCGATATTCGGGTCTACGTACATAGTAAGAAGCCGATCATATATTCGGCCAGGGACTAGACAGACAGACTAGACTTGGCAGTATTTCTTTAAATGATCTTAGGATGACTTTTCGCCAGCATAGCATTTAAAAAACAGACAGTTATTCCGTCGAAAAATTGCAGAAAATATCATATTTCGCTGTGCGAAGCTGTCATAAGTAAATGTGTTGAGTTAATGCCTTCCGCACTTCAGTTGTTACATTTTTACCTAGGTAGAGATAAGAGAGCTGTATACCATGGTTGTAAGGACTATTGCCACTTATGGAGCGGTTGCTTAGGCATCTAGGCCAACGAAGTCTTCGGTAGGCGTTCAACTAACGAATCTACAAAGACTCGCCTGTGACTGCGCTTCAAGGGCAATTAGCACTTGCCCAACCACAGCACTTGCAATCATGCTAGAGATCACCGCTGTATCTAGTGATCAAACAGGTAGCGAAACATACCATCTTGCTAATGGCAACAGAGGGTTTTGTCAAATTGAAGATAATGTCATCTCAAAAAATTAAGGCCCTAGGGAAAGACATACCACTGATCCTTCCTCCAAGGGAAGGTTTTACGAAGAGGGTAAACACTACCGCAAACCAACTTGTCCATACCAATGGAACAAATGTCGAGCATCTTTCAAGCAGAAGTCTTTGCTATAAGTCAGTGTGCAACCGGATATACCTAATCTGAGTGCCAGGGCATAAAGCGGTAGCCAGCAATGAGCTGACTGACGAACTTGCCCGCTCTGCGGCAGCGTCCACAAAAATGGGGTTATAATCATGCATTGAAGTGGAGTACCACACTTTAAAACAGCTAAGAAGAGAGTCGGGAGATAACAGTATTGGCAGCAGGCAGCACGAACGCGCCATACGAAACTAATTCTGGGACGGTACAACCTTGACAGGTTGGTCACTAATAACTTGATACTTATGCAAATTAGTTACAATTTAAATGACACCTGAGCGGCGCTCTTTCAGCTGTTTTAAACCTTAAAGGTTGATCTTAGTCAAATAAAACGCTACTGCGCCAGCACGCACATTGATAATACAAAATCTAACTGAAGCTTTTCGAGTGCGCATTAAAAAATCATTGAGCAAAATGACAGTAAATATTATACTTATGGGTGTGTATGTGTGTGGGTGTTTACAATTTTGACAAAGTTACAACTACCTGGGAAATGGCGCTGCTTCCGACGTCGACATACACAGCGCCAAGCAAACGGCGACAAAAGCCAAGGACCAACAGAATAACTTGTTTGACATCATTGTTTTTGTTATTTTTGTTTTCCTTGCTGCTTTCACTTGGAAGGGTTGACGCTGCAAAAGAAGAAGAAGAAACGTAAGTTAATAATAGGAAATTATGTAAATGCGGCTATTAAATAGCATTTTAAGTTAATAAGAAAATTGAGCTTATGTTAAAATCAGCCAAAATGGCAGGCAATGTTTTACCTTTCTTTCATTAGCCGTTAGAAATAAATTTAAAGATGACGTGTGTTGTTTGTATGTACATATATAAATTGTAATTTTTTCCACACCTTAGCAGTAGCTGGCTGTATTCTATTACTTTGCGCATTATAATTCAATCACGATAAAGCAATCAAAATAAATTAACTGAGCAGACGCAGAATAATTTAAAAGTGACACACGGTCTGTGGTTATGTGGGGTGTGTGACTAGTAATTTAAAGCAATCAATAACGCATGCCGGTTCACCTATTTATGTGTGTGAGAGAAACCCTCGTGAATTTAAAAACTGACTGTCGTTGCGTTGAATTTAAAAAAAATTTGAATAAAATAAAAAATGTAGGATAAACACACGCGTTTTAAGCTTCATAGATGAATGATTGTTTCTTCCTTGAAAATAAATGATGCATATTTACTAAATGATTGCAGCCAAAATTGTGCAATATTTTTGGCTATATCGCAAAAAAATTTCAAGATTCCCTCAAAGAGGAAATTTCGGGACTGATATCGAAAGCTCGATAATTATTTTATGAAAAATATTTTTTTCTTGCGATATTCATAATTTAAAACTCAATTCATCTAATCCCGAAATTTCGGGACTGAAATTTTTTGAGCCAAAAAACTTGAAATATTATTTCATGCAGCATATTAATTTTTAAAAGTCTTATAAACCCGAAATTTCGGGACTGAACTTTTTAGATCCCGAAATCCCGAAAAGTTATTTCATAAAAAATACTAATTTCTGATGAATAGAATAATGAAACTAATGAATCTTTCCAAAAATGAATGCAAAGTCCAGCTCTTTTCATATTTCGCCAAAAATTAAAAATTTATAAAAAAAATTCAGCTCGAAATCCGAATTTTCGAGACTGATGTCGAAAGACCAATAATTATTTTATGAAAAAAGCTTATTTTTTGCATTGCTCGTAATTTAAAACTTAATTAATATAGTCCCGAAATGAGATTTTTTGATCCCGAAATCTTGAAAAACTATTTCATGGAGCATATTAATTTTAAAGGAATCGAATGATGAAACGAAATTCTTATAATTTCGGGACTGATATCAAAAAATTGACAATTATTTTATGGAAAAAGCTTATTTATTGCGATAATCGTAATTTAAAACTTAATTCTTATAATCCCGACAGACTTTAAAAAATCCCGAAAAATTATTTCATAAAAAATACTAATTTCCAACGAACCAAATAATGAAACTTAATTTATATTTTCCGAGAATTAATGCCTCACTAATTTCTCATCCAATCTATATGAATTTCCACGTACACAAATTCCAATCAAATGAATGTGTGCAAATTTTGATAATTCAACGCACACATTTGCATATATACACTGCAGCTTGCTTTGCTTTGAAATATCCCTCACTCAGTAGTAAAGAATTTGTTTGCCTACAAAAGTATGTACCCTCCACACACACGCCCCACCGCTGCTGCATTTTTAGTTGTACGTTAAACTATTTATGCCACACAATATTTAATGGTGCAGCAAAATGTTGCAAATGTATTTGTTGTGTCACATAATGGGTGCATGTAAACAAGCGATGCTGTGGCACGCCAATGCGTGTGCACGTGTGTGTGAGAGTAGAGTGGAGGATGACGCGACTGACACATCGTTGACACTATCAAAACGTTGTTGATTACCTGCTGAGTTATGTGCATTGAGTGCAAAATCTACCAATACCAATTCCAGCACACAGCAAAGCACGCAAACAAAAATGTTAAACCAAAACCGATTATGTGTTGAGTGTGCTTATCTGGAAGCCTGTTGACATGTTGATGGACGTTACAAACAAATCGGGCGGTAAAGCAGCTGGAAACCGTATATTATGGTATTGGTGTAGTATATGCTAGCAACAACAACAAAGGCATTTTTGCAATACTTTCAGATTTTGCAGCGACTTTTCACATCCGCAAGCAACATGGAAAGGGATAAGCAATCGGAAGACACTCCACTTGCAGAGACTTTAAACTTGCCAGGATGAGTGTGGGTATCTTTGTGTGTGTGTACAGCTGAGTGACGTTGTCTTTCTGGCTATCAACTGTAGCGCGGTAGCAACAACAACAGGCAAAGTGGCAGCAACATTAACAACCGTAGTTGCAGCAAAGCATATCAACAGCTTCATTGACTTGAGTGCCGCAAGTGTTGTGATAAAGAGGCAGCAAGCAGCTAGTCAAGTGCTTGACGAGCGTGTGCGAGCGTTAGTACTTTCAGTGTAAGTGAATAAGCGCCCAAGTGCTTCGTGCATGGCTGTGGGGAAATTGTAACTGCTACACAGGCGAGCACGTGCCGTTATTACTTTGCTAACGGCGTGTTCAACACTTACGCCGCTTTGCAGCTCAGGCTAGTTGCCACTGAGGTCATTTCCTAGTTGCAAAATTAATCGCCTGTATATTAAATTTTAATGTTCAAATATTATTAAACTGAAGTAAAAAGCGTGCAGGCAGTTGATTGTCAGTGATGTGCAACATACTAATACAAATTGCACTCGTTGACCTCAATTTTACGCCAAGCACAAAAATGTTATGTTATGTTATGTACATAGTTGAAATTAGTTATATATAAAAATTAAGAAAGTTTATAGTTTTAAATTTAAGGTGATACTGGTATATATTAAATCTCCTAATAAATAATTTCATGCTACAAAAAAATTGCATGAGAGAGGAAGATACCTGTGTCTTACATTTATTACAAGCAAAATAATAATATTGTGTTTTAAGTGCCTTATGGACTCTTAAAGTAATATTTCAAAGTAACCCGTAAAGTTTTTCTTCGAGTTTGCTCGCGCTAAATTTAAAATAAAAAAATTTAATTTAAAACTTAATTCGTATAATCCCGACATTTCGGGACTGAGATTTTTTGATCCCGAAATCTTGAAAAATTATTTCATGAAACATATAGTACTTATTAATTTTTAAAATGAAACTTAATTCTTTTGATCCCGAAATTTCGGGACTGAGATTAAATAATCCCGAAAAATGATTTTATAAAAAATACTAATTTCCAATGAATCGAATATTGAATATTAATTTTTGTTTTTGTTTTCCCAGAATTAATGCTTCACTAATTTCTACTCCAATCCATATTGACTTGTAAAGAGTGAAAGATGAAAGATTCTTGTAATAAAAATAATATTATAATCAAGTAGTATGACTAATTCGAAGTTGAATTAATAACTGTAAGTCTATAGTAGATGAATAGAATATATTACTAACTGTTAGTCTGTAGCAGATAGTTTATTTGGAGCTTAGTGGACACTCTGTTACTAACAATTGATGAAACTAGAAAAAAGTAAAATTCTGATAATTCCTTCATAGGTGCTAAATTGATCCGATATCAGGAGTCCGAAAAGGACTTTTAGAAAAATCGAAAGTTACAAATTATGAAGATAGCAATTGGTGTATATCTTGGTTAAAAGTATGAGAATTGTAACTGTGTCTTCGCTAAAATCTTAAACGTCTGGAAATCTGCGTTGACTAATTATTAAGAAAGAAATTAGAAATTAAGAATTCTAAAAGAGAAATTTAATTTTAAATGTTTACGTTGACCATATTGCTGAAGTCAGATGGAAAGAAAGAAGTTGATTTCCATAAATATTATACATACAAACAACTGATTTCGGCAGTTAGAGGCAACGCGAGTGCAGATTGAGTCAAAACCGTATTTTTTGATTTCAGAACTAAAAAAAGTGCTTAGAAAAGATGCTTGTTATGATATAAAATGGGTGAAAACGTTACATATTTGGTCTAAGTTTTAGTTTTAGTAGTCAGTAGCATCATTCTATTCAAGCTAACTGCAATTTTACATGCTGTACAATCCTGAATACTGATCTTTTAGTGGATCTAATATCCTATTTCACGTTAATCAAGCAATGTGTTCCTGGACATTGTGATATTTCTGGAAGCTGTCAAGTATATAAACTATCCAGAACAGAAACCACGCTACAACCAACAGACTCCGGAAACGAGGGAATTTATACGATGCTTGCCACTTCTAGATATTTAAAGCTGAGTCTCGTTGGAATCAATTCTGAACTTGCTCAACACGCAGTCAGACGTTGCATGCATGGCTTATTGCCGACTCTTGTTTTTTGAGGAGTTCTGGAAAAATAATTCGAAGAAGTTTCGAAATGTTTTCTTTTTTTAATATAATTGGCCTAAAGCTAAATTGTTTAAATCCAATTTGCGAGTTCGAGAGTGGGGTGTATAATCGTGAAAAATTTACCTTTAAAATGCAATTGTTTGTGTTTTTATATTTCAGGTATTTGGTGTAGCTGCTCATAAAATATTTAAATTTCTCATAAAATATTTTGAATTTCATCTCTAAATTTTTTGAGTATTAAATATTTTTTTTTTGATGAGCATATGCCCAAACATCTACGCACATTCCCTTCTGGTTTAGATTAAAGCAAACTTTCGGCTTATTTTTTTAAATATTTGTAATACCACCGCGGGCATAGATGCCGCAAGCTGCAAGCCACGAGCAAACGCCTGTTTCTGATAGGCGCGATAGGCTATCCCTAAAAGCCAAATATTTATTTAAATTTTTGTATATTTTTCAAATCTACCTAAAGCAAATTTGCACCCCTTCTGCAGGTGTAAACGCCAGGCCAAATCTACATATTTATACATGCTAATATAAATAAACCAAGAAGAAAGCGCAAAATGCCTCCACAAATAGAGCAAGCCGCCGTTATTTGCACCGACAATAAAATTCTGGATATTGTGCTTTTTTGCGCTTATTTCGGAAATGCTCACATTGCTAAAGCAGCTGAAATTCTCTTGGCTGAAATTGTAGCAATAACAACAGCAGCCGCAAAAAATGCTTACAAGAAATACCT